CCTGAAACCTTGCGTCCGATCCTCTCAAAACCACAAACGACCGTGAAAATATTTCGATTTTAAGCTCAAATTGAAAAAAAAAGAGACGTACAGGTTAAATCATACACCCAATATATCCGCTTGAGGTAGTAAAGACAATTTAAAAAGGATTGTAACAGATATTTTGAGCAACCTACACAGAAACGTTAGCAAGAAGTGGAAAGTAACTACGGAGAGTGCCCTATTGATCAGAATACATTTTACCATCATCCATGCAATGAATAGTTTTAAGCAAGCCGCAACTAAGTGTTCCTTAAACCAATACACACACCCAGATACCAGCACCCAACCAACGAGCTTACACAACAAACTTGGGTAACTACAAGCCAAATCTATATCCCCTGCCTTCTACCCAAATAGTCAAGTTAGATTATTCCGGCCTCAGAGTGTCACGGCTCAACCGATTTCGCACCTTCCAACGGCCTGATTGACAGCCCGCCAGGCCTGCAGCTGGTACCACTGCCTGCCAGTGGGGAGGTCCTTGTACACGCCAGAACCGCTTTGGAACCTTCGTTCGTCCAGAAACGCCATCTTAATCTTAATCCGCGGGTCGTCGCGTGGCGGGTAGGCGATTCCGATGACGACGACTGCGCGACTGGTGTGATCGGCGAGATCAAGGCCCTCGCTCGCCTTGCCACGCATCACCGAGAACAACACTGACCCGCCGGCGGTTGCAGCTTCGGTGTAACGAAGAGTTATCTAAACGAGCCAAGCGTTGGAAGGGGGGATTGGATGACAGGCCAACAAGCAAATACATACAACCATTGCAACAGAGGCGGTCAAAAGCGTTGGGTTTGGGGCCCGAAATGCAACAGCACTTTGCGATCAATAGACCAGACGGTGAATGTCAGTGGCCCGTCAGTGCTGATTCGAGCAAGTAACCGTGTAGTTCAAGTACTTTCTCTTGCCATTACTGCGTGTAGGTACTTCTAGCAGCCAGTAATGGCTCTTGGTGCTATTAACTGCTGCTGCTGCTGCTGCCGCCGCTGCCCAGCTGTCACTCCCGCCTAGCTGTAGCATTGCCCTCCTAGCAGAATCATAATAGCACTAATTTATCATTTAGCCAAGGCAGCAGTGTCAATCACACGTGGCATCAAAGCGCAATTCGCCAAAAAAAAGCGACCAAAATTTGCCCTACCTGTTGGAATTCCGTCTTGTCCCGCGGCTCAAAAAAGAGCTTCTTGTGGTCAAGCAGTTTGTTGTACACGTCGGAGTTCTGCACAACCACAGGGAGAGAGCAGTTAGCAAAGGCGAAAAATTAGTACAAGATTTGAAGGAGCAGGAGGGAGGGGGGAGAAAAGCGAGGAGGCCTCACCTGCCACGCGTCGCTGCACTTCTTCATCAGCGCATACGAGGGGAAGAAGACCAGAACACCGCCAGGCACCACGCGACACAAGTTGACTGTGCAATTCGAAGACAAGGAATACAAGGTCACGGTTACAAAAGGGACACACAAACACTAACAGAGGATGCGTGGAATGGCTGGAACGAGTTGGGCGTGCACAGAACGGTTTTTTGAGGCACCTTCTGCTCGAGTTTTCAAAACACACCAACTCAAAGCGAACGGAAAAAGACAACCTCGCATACTACGCTTGAGGGCATGCGGCGGAGGGGAGAACGTGTCGCATGAACGCGCATGCAAACAGGACAATTGGCTGAATGTAAGTGGTGCAACAAATGCTTATCGCCAGCATCTGCATGAAAATGCAGGCGGTTTGGTAGACGATTGCCTGCCGCAAATTGTGCGACAAGTCTGGCTACAAATTTAATTGGTGCACGATTGGTTGTTTCGGAAAGAGGCCCAACTGCCAAGCTCAAGGTGGTGATTCGGCTTTGCACGAGCGGCAGGTGGAAAATTCGCAACCCCGAATGCTTTCCAACGAAAACACACATCAACGTCACTCCTTGAAACCAACAGCGGCGAGAAAACTGTGTAGGCACACGCTGCGACCGCCAAAGCACATTTCGACGTAGTGACAGAGGGCTAATAGTGTGCAGTGAATTGTGTTGATTCATGCCCATCGACTCGGTTGCCGCTACCTGCTCTGCTCACCTGGCCGTTCAGCCATTTGTACTTTTACAAGTTCACCCACTGGTCAGACACGAGTTTTATGCGCCAAAACACGACTAGTTTGATTTTCCTGTGTAGCGTAATATGACCAATCACAACGCTGCGGCCCTGGTGTGTGTGTGTGTGCGCGCGCTACTATTGATGGGCCCCCAACAGCAATTCATGGTTCCGGACCCATAGAAGATGCCTACGATGGACGGACAGTAAAGCCAGTCGACATGTCCACTGAGTGACCGCCGCGGTGTGTGGCTCAAGATCAACCAATCACAATGCTGCGGCCCCGGTGTGTGTGCGCGCGCTACTATCGATGGGCCCCCAACAAAAATTCATGGTTCCGAACCCGGTGAAGACGCCTACGATGCACGGAAACACAGTAAAGCGAATCGACATGTCCATTGAGTGACCGCCGCGGTGTGTGGCTCAATATCAACCAATCACGACGCTGGCTCAAGACCCACACACGCTGAGGCCTTCAACACGGACATACCGAGAGAAAGACCGAGGGATCTGTGGTAGGCAGGGTCCTCGCGGAAATTGAAACCAGAATTGAGCGACCCGCCATCTGGAGCTCTCGGAAGCACCGCAACGAAAAGCTGATCCGCGTTTATGACGTGCGGATTCTGCAGAACCACTGCGGACTGTCTGGCGGGAGAAGACAAATTAAACACACCAAGGGTAAATCAGTGGATGCACAGAAATTAAGGGGACGAACCAACTCACAAGTCTAATTCCGCTTGGAGGGCTTGAATTGGATACAAAGTCCCGCTCGTGAGAATTATGTTGCGCACATTCAGCGCCAACAATTCGTGCATAGCTCTAAAAAAAGCATTTGATTGGTTGTATTAAGACAGTGTTTCCGCTAGACCTTAACACCAACCTCACACTGCTGTGGTTGCTCGGATCTAACGAGTCCCGACAAATATCTTGCGTACTTACAACGTTATCAGTAGATATATTTTAACAGAAAAGGGCATTACCGTCCAGGCGTGAGACACCAGTAGCTGAGGCAGACGTTTCTGGTTCCCTTGGCGTTCCCGCCAATTTGCATGGTTGTCGCCCAAACATCACCGCCATCTTTGAACTTGGGGGCCACCAATTCGACTTTAATATGCACACGATAACAGCTTGCTGATTGTTGACGAGCAACCTGCGACAGAGGTTTCCCGATATTACCAACCCCAGAGTGATCGACAAAGACTTTCTGGAAAAAAAAGAAATGTGCAAACTCTCAGTACACATATTTCTAAGTAAGTAAGAAGGGAACCAATTTGAACTGTCACAGAGATGCTCATTAAAGTCTGTTGCGTCTAAATTGTCATGGCAACCGACGCCATTACACTTCGCGTACCTGGAGGAATTCAGCGACATGAGTTAGACCGCGACCTCTTCTAAATTTTGCAACTGGAAGTGCAAAGAAAAAGGAAAGATGAAAAGGTCACCTCGGTGGGCTGAGGGAGTCGAAAAAAACAAAACTCACCATCTAGAGAAATGGACGCAGTGATTATTTGGTTGATGAGATCCTGTGTTTGCGAGTGATTGGCCGACGTGATACCAGCCTGTCCGAGCAATTCGAACACATAACTACACAGCGGGGAAAAAGGCAACACTCAGGCGTGCACTAATGTCTTTGCGAAATGAGGCAGAATATGCGAAGTGTTTGTATACTACTTAAAGGTTTTGAGTAATATGGCGTTTCGTATGGTGAAATAGTGTCGGTTCGAGTGCCACATCTGAGCATTAGCAACAGGTGACGTTGGCCCTAGACACCAAAAGCCACAAGCCTGTCTCTTAGATTGTGAGCTAAGCCGGTTTTTAACGCCCCGATGGGAAATTCAACGCCCACACGTTTTCAAATTTTAATGGTCAATTTATACCAACGCCTAATTTGATTGGCTCGCATTGGCTCTAGGTTTCGAACCATCTGCCGGTTCAACTCAGCCACAACTACTCTCGACTTTCGATTGGCTCGCCTATCTCCTGGGAACAACCAATCACCACTCTCTATTAAAAGCTCCGACCAACCGTGTTGGGAGTAAATGTTGAGTCACCCGACCACGACGGCGATTAACCAATCACCTCCCTGTGAAAACCAACCGCCAAAATACACGTGTAACAAACCGTCCAATTAGCTTTTTTTTTAAATGGATAGTCGATTCCGGTTAATCTCTATGTTTTGCTGCATTTTGTTACAACACTACTTGAATATGCACACAGGTAGTCAACAATATCTGCCCACAGAATTTTTAGGTCCATGATCGAAAAACCACTCCGATACCACGAAGAACAAAAGATGCTTCACATTGCCGTTCACTGTATTCACGTTTGACATTTTATTTCGATCGCGGACAGCTGTTGTTTTCCTTAATTATTCGCCCTAATATTCTTACGAGCAGCGCTCGTCCAATGAGCAAATTAAAACGACGAATAGGTCAAAAGTAACACGACCTACGACTCGCTTTACAATTACATACACTAATTCACTCCTCTCACCTTCATACCGTTGTCCACCTACACATTGCGCAAATTGGCTTAACGATACAATAACCAACTGAGCTTTTACCGCCTGTGGGCACTTTGTATTCTAGCGTGACGCATTGGGAGAAATATATTTCGTCCTGTGAACGAGACGGCGGCGCTAGTACATCACATTGTGCGTTTGGAAGGGCCTAAAGACACCTCTAAACGTATGCCTACATGACGACGCGAATGTGCTGCATTAGGGCGTCCAATGAAGTTGTGAGATGTCGCCATCTCCAACAAAAACAACCTCCCACACTTGAGGGATTTGGACTACAGATGACTGAACGATGGCATCTATCAGCCAGAGACGTCGACATCGCAGTGGAGTGGAACTCACTCGCCAGGTTTGATCAGTCCATTCGCTGAAGCAGTTTCGCCGATGCCGTCAAGCAGCCGCTCCAGTTCAATCAGCTGGCCTTTCAGAGTGAGCACGCTTGGTAGCCCGATCGCAGCCACTGAAATCCGAGGGGGGAAATCGATGTTAAACAAGAAATTTGCAAAAACGCAGGCTCCCAACAATTAAACTGCCCCATTGGACCCCATTAACGACGTTTAAAAAAAGTAGGCCATGGAGACAGCGGGATTTACTTCAAGGGAATATTAATAAAAACACAAGAACAGATGGCAGCCCAATATTACGCGACAGTGTGCGACAACTACAAAATGCATGGAAGCTCACTTATCAGTTAAGCAGTGACTTAAAGCCGCCTCAACAAGATGCAACTGAAGAAACATGATTCTTCCAGGCAAGTAGAGAAAATTCGTTAAACATGGTTAACGCATCTAATTTGGCACATGAAATTGCCGATAACCTCTAGGTTCGGTCGTGGGCTTTAATTGAGCGAAGGCATGTGCAGCGATTGAAATCAATTGCCACAGGTTGCTACGAAGGGTTTCATCCAATCAGAGCCAAGAACGCCTACAAGGTCATGAGTAGAGGACCCACACCCAAGGTTAATCCAAGCGGCCTACCAACGGAAGCGGTATCCAACTCACTGGCATTATTGGTCGGTTGGGAGAT